TAGATAAAATGTGATTTAGTCACACTTTTATTGAAACCACAGCTAGATAAATATGGCTGCTCCTCTCTAACATTCAGTCAGAAATTTTCTGCTTTTATTCGCCACTAAAAAGTTTAGCTGGTTGTAACTTGATGGATGAACCTAAAGAATCCGCTCATGCTGCTTTGTGTAGCAGGAAATATATTAATCTGTAATCAACTGAGTCATCAAAAGCTTATTTGAAATGAAGGTTGATTTAATTTTTGCAGGGGTCAGTGCCCCCCACGAACCCACCCCTGAATCCGGCCATGTCTTATTCTGTTAGTTTCCCTCCACTGCAGCACAAACATCTTAACATTGTCAGATTTGTGAAGTTGTTCTGGTTCCGTCAGTGTTGGTCTCACCTGATGATGGGTTTCTGCAGCTCCGGCTGGGTGTAGTGCACCATGTGCTGCAGGATCCCCCACAGGGAGACGGGGATCGTGAGGAACACGAACACGCCGGCGATGAACCAGGCCTTGCTGTGAGTCCCGACCTGACCGACAGACAGACAGACAGACAGACAGACAGACAGACAGACAGACAGGCAGGCAGACAGTCAGAACCTCTTTGGGTCAAAACGTTTGGGTCGGATGAGGCTCATCACGGAGTCCAGCTGACTCACCTTGTCCTTCTGCAGCTCCAGACGCACAGCGGCACCACGGCCACCAGCAGGAGCGCGTACAGAACCAGAACCAGCGGACGGATCCATCTCCTCCACTCTGCACAGGAACACGGCATGACGGCTGCTTTTCCCTGAGTGCGGACTTACAGGCTCATCCTAAACCTGAGAGACAAAAGCAGACAGTTAGAGCTGGACTCTGAAATTTAACTGAATTATTATGATAATGATGCACGAGATTACTGTTGTAATTATGTACACATACACTTATAGAAATAGAAACAATAATGTTTAGAGCAGAAATACTTCTAAAGAGTTGTTTTGAGGGAAAATTTCTGGCGCCAGAAAGGTCGATCTGACCTGATTTTTATCTGGAAAGTACAAAATGTAGGAACAAAACTCGGGTTGGAAAGTAAGCTGTTTAGATAGATAAGAACAACAATTATTATTAATTGACTTGTTTTGCAGTTCTGATGGAGCAGATGTTCAGATGAGAGGTCAGTAAGAAATTCGGAAAAACTCCAACACACACTGAGTCAATGGGCAGCCAGAAGTCTTGACGCAAAACCGACGTCATTGGAAGCTATAAAAATGTCTGTAGACAAAGAACGGTTGAGATTTTTTGGAGATTTTGGGGACTTTTGATTTTGAGACTTTGAGATTTGAGAAACTATGTTTTGATGCATCCGTGGTAATGTGTTAATAAATCTCCCGACTCCTCGTGGCAGTAAGAACTCGTCTCTGTGGTTTGTTTTGCTTATTATCCATGTATTTGAGAGTTTTGCGCCTCACAATTCTCCAATAATAAGAATAAGATATAATTATTGTTATTGTGTCCTTTGCACTTGTTTTGTTTTCTGCAAATAAAAATAGTACAGTTGCAATTAAATTGAGTCAAAACAGGATCCAAAGTTAAAAGTAAACATTTTCATAAAGCCTGGAGATCAAATTACAACAGAAGAATAAAGGAGGGATTCACATCTAATGAAAGTGAAAGAGTTTAGCAGCAGAATGAACCTAAAGTCAAGTTTTTATTGTTGTTAAAATATTCCAGGATGAGTCCAAAAACCCACATTCACCAGAAATTACAGACATGTGAGTTTTCTTTTTTAATATTATTTATTTATTTATTTATTTTATTGTAAACAACCAGAACCAAACTGTTGGTGAATTTTGCAGCTTTTTAAATCTCATAAACTTCATCTATTTTGCTGAAACTGTTTGGAAATATGAGAAATAATGAAACTGGATTGAAACTGAAAACGGTTGTTTTTCTCTGCAGCCACATCGGATCTATTGGATCATCAGTCACTCCAACATTAACGTTTCTAAGCCCGTTTCTGACGTCATCTTTCAGCCACTGTGTTCGGATTTGACTAAAATGAAAACATTTATCATTTTAAAGGCTGAAGCAGTGAATAAACACGGACATGTCGGTGCAGCTGAAGATGTTTTACTTGCAGTGACGCTCGGCCTGTTTCCACCCTCAGTCCTCTCTCTGTTTCCAGGCAACGCATCCTCCCTCCATCCGAAACCGCTAAACCGCTAAACCGCCGTTCGGCAGTCCGTCAATCAGCCGCGCTCTGATCACTGATCGATTAATCCACACAACGGGCCGCTCGCTCAGCCGCTGCTCCCCGCCGATCCGCTCCTGTCTGCCGCCTTTACGGCCCGACGTCACCGGAGGAGGCAGCGGCGGCTGCGGGCTGCCCGTCGGTCACATGGTGGGCGGAGGACGGACGTAGGCTGCGCTGCGAGCGGAAAACCGGGTTAAAGGAGCCGGAGAGCCGATCAGGGGCCTCCAGCCTGCAGGACAACCTGCAAAGCATCAGGGACTCTTTCAAGTCCCTGATGTCTGGGACTTGAAACCGACTGAATCTGCTGTGAAGGTAACGACGTGTAAAACAGGCCAGAAAGATGTGAACATGTTTAAATCACTAAATAAAAACTATAATCTATTGACTGATAGAGCAGGAAGTTAATCAGACTCAAATAAAGCAAACATTCATTAAGGGTTAAATAACTTTATTGACAAACACAACACCTAATAAAAACAACAAACAAACAAAAATAAAAACCAACACATTAAAATGGCTTCGTAACATCTGACTTTATACATCATTATTATGTTTATAAAGAAAAGATGAATAAAATGGGTAATACAAACATCAGCCCCCAGAGGCCGCTAAAGGACAAGTTACGCTTCTTTTCCTTGGATCTTCACAAACTTATTGGAGTTTTAAATATTTTAAAAACAACAATAAGCAGAGATGGAGTAAAAAAGCTGACTTTTATTTATATTCCTACTTTAATTATTTTTCAGAGCCAAATGTTGCTGTAAAGAGAGAAACTGTTGTTGTTTTGGGACTAAATGGAGATTTAATTTCTCATTTTCCCATGACTTCACCCACAGTGGCTGTGAAAACCTTTCCGTCCATCCTGTCCGTTAATGAGGAAAACTCTGCAGGAATCATTTCCTCCTCATTCACTTCCTCTCCAGGAACTACGTCTTGATTAGTGGTTCAGATCCAAGGGAAGCCGACTGGTTCTGACCCATAAAACAACAAGAACAAGTCAACTGTCAGCACTGTTCTTCAATCGGGTCAAATTCATTTTATATCAATATTATATTGTGGCAACATTGCCTCATTCTGATTTTTGATGCAACTTATTTCACTAATTAATAATCCAATTAATCATTTAATCAGATTTCATTTGTCACATTTGCTACTACTGAAATGCATGCAAATAAATTATTAAATTCCTTTATTAAATAAACATTTTATTGCTTAAATGCATGGCAATCTATTTGTAATGATTGATTATTTGCAGCAAATGATGAATCTGCAGCTAAAAATGCCAACATGAACATGTGAAAGGCTCGGATCTGTTGGATTAACAAATTAATAATTGGATAACAGAAGTTTTTTTTACAAAAGTTGAAAATGTGCAACTTGAGAAGTCTGGGTGGAAAACAGGAAATTTTTGTACTTTTGGCTTAATAACTGCTCCGAATGTGTGATTTTCTTTCAGTAAATGAGCTTTTTTGAGTTATTATCAAGTTAACAACTAATCAATTACAAATTAGTTGACAATTATTTCAATAATCGATTAAATTAATTCAATTAATTGTTTCAGTCATAACTCAGAGTCCAGTGAAATGTCTTTAAAGAAGCGCAGAGAGCAAAACTTATTGTTTAATTCTAGCAGTCATTTTAAATAAATTTAGACTAAATTCATGTTTTATATAATTTTACTGTTTAAATTAATCATCGTGAAAAATATCCATCAGTTCGTGACTTCCTGTTTCCTGAAAACGTTTCTACTGGCTCATGAACATCTTCTGAAAAAACAAAACATCCTCCTCCAACTTCCGTCCTCTTCTTCGTCTGTTGCGTCAGCAGAAACATCCGACTGTTGATCACGTGATTCATGTGACCCGAAGAAAAAGTGTCCGTCTATTTCGACACGGCCTGCAGTTTGTACCAGATGGCGCTCCTCTCCCCGTTTGTCCGAATCGAGACAAAAACGTCATATGAAAGAAGACAACTGCTTTATTTGCTAACCAGCTAAAAGCTACAACTAATTTAAAAAAATGTGTTTAATAATAGAGTTAAATGGCGAAATTTACAAGAAAAAAAGAGACTCTGCGACCTTTAAACGGAACAAAATAATCCAAGTTTTTAACCCATCGGTGAGTAAAACGTTTCAGTTTGTGACGTCAGCAGGTCAGGTTGATCTCAGCTGTTTAAATGAAGTGGTAAGTTAGTAATATTTGCTGTCAAGTGAAAATGGAGGTTGTATATGCACTCTGCTTGAAGTTGCAGTCTTGTTTTGAAAATAACATCTTCCTGTTTACAGAGGCCAGAAAAGACCTAAAAATAAAATGAAACATTTTTAACCCGCCATGTTGCAAGGAAGCATGAAGGTCTAGTTAAAGTCCTGGATTACTGGCTCCAGTGAACTTTTACTGTTACGACTGATGGACATTTTCACCTTTTTATTTTACGGTTTTAGGGTATCTTTTATTATTTTATGGTGAAATATTTGCTTATCTTTTAAATACACGTATCAAATGTAGTTTTTAGTCTTCCAGGTTTAACTAGACGGCGTTGTTGAACGTTAGTTTTATCCACAACCTTATGTTTACACCATCAGAAGAACCAGTAACATCCTCTATTTGATTTAAATATTACTATGAATTGCACTTTTAGGTTCTCAAACAAGGTGGATGAGGTTAAAGGTAATTATCTAAACACAATTTTTCATCTCCTTTCTGGGAAACACAGCTCAAATACTATCTAAAATATTTACTTTTCCTAATATCTTAGCTGTTTTTCCAAAACTGGAAGAGCTCAAATAAGATCCAACATGACTTTATGGGTCGTATGTGAAAACATTTCTGTGGCGGTGAAACCATCAGCGGTCAGAGTTTTGAAACTGCTGACTGTTCCCGTGTTGGAGAGGCTGCAGGTTGTTGGAGAAAGGCCAAAAGTGACGGCAGCAAAACAGCATCTTCTACAGGGAGACACAGAAAGACAGAGACAGGCAGGGTCATTTTTACTCTGTTCAAAATGTTCAGTCTCATGGAGGAAAAAGTCTTTGAGTCATACATTTACTCATAGCCTTCAAAGTGCTTTTCTGATTGTAAGCAAAATAACAGCGGAATAAGGGATGACTCAAGACTTTTGCACAACACAGTAGCAAGAAGACACTTCTGAGCTCACTCCAAGTGCTTAAGTTGAAATTATGTTTTTTCTCTTTTACTCTGTTCAAAATGTTCAGTATCAGCTGGAGACATGCAGAATTTTCTTAAAGTCTTCAAATTGTTTTTCTTAGATTTTTTTAAAATTTGTGCTTAATTTGAAAAACTGGAGTATTTGGACTATTTTAACAAATTGGCAGCACCTGAACGGGCTCAACAAAGGAATAAATATTCAGCTGAACATTTCCTGGAATAAAGTCCAAAGAAACTCTTTGGAAGACATTCAATTGTTAAAGACTACAATAGATTCTGATTGTAAGCAAAAATAACAGAGAAATAAGGATGACTCAAGACTTTTGCACAATACCGTAGCAATAGAAGACACTTCTGAGCTCACGCCAAGTGCTTAACAAGTCAAAATTGTTTTTCTTTCCATTAAAACATTTAAATATGAGGTAAAATCAAATGTTTCTGAAATATAAGTGACAATATCATCTGTATATAACTTGATAAAAGTTGGTGGATACATAATTAAGAATAAAATACAATTGATTTTATTAAACTGTTTGAATAATGTTTACTATCCTTCACACAGCCGCTGGGAAGCTGTTTCTGAATCTGTTTTGCACCATTTAATTCAGGCAGTTTAAACACTATTATAACATCAGGACATAAATAAAAGTACATGGATCAATACTGTTTATATTGATCTGCTACAATACAATTCAGTATATTTTCTCCTCTTCCTGATTTTTCTTTTTGGCCAATTAACAGAAGAAAATCAGGTAGAAAGAAGCAACAGTGAAGGATGGAACCAAGACTAGTAACTTTTTCTTATTATTAAACAGCAGTGACTGTCGCTGGTATATAAATCCGACTGACAGCAGGTTTACAGCCAGGTTCTGGTCTCTTTCATATTAATGTCTCCATTTTTAAACTCCCCTGTCGTAACAATCTTTACTTCGGTATTTGTGACGCCAGCTGTTTTGTGACAACTTAATTCCCAGTAAACAGGCTTGACCTTTCTTGACCTGATGCATCTCTAATCTCCAAGGCCGAGAGAAGATGACCTGGATGACATGGCTGAAACTTCAAGCATTTAGTCCTGGACTAGAACCACAAATGGCAAATTCAACTGAGTCAGCTGCTTTCACAGACAGGAGCAGAATGTCCAGCAGGAAATACTTTCCATCAGAACAAAGATGAAGCTGCCGGCGGTCACTGTGACACCAAAAAATACATTTAAATCCAATCCTGTTGCCAGAATAAAACTACAACTCCACTAAAACTGTAGTTTATGGGACTTAGATTCAACATAAACAATAGTTTACACCTATTTAGTCAGTAGGGACACAGAAAAGCCTAAATTAGCATCTTCTGCGATTCTAAAATCTAGATTTTAGAAGATCCTTTGAAAATTGTCATCTTACATACAATTAAATAATAATTTAAGAGATAGAGAGAAGCCTAACAGAAGAATTAAAATCTAAAGTTAAACTTTTTAAAATTTAACATCATTTATGATGATGGAGAAAAACTTATCCAGATATATTTCATAAAATCAAATGGATAAAAAGCCTTTCTGAGTGTTTCAGCAGCATCACTGTGTCATGTTGAAAACATTTGAAAATCAAAACTATCTTCCTGTTTTCAAACGTTCCTTTCCTGATTCGTTCAATAAAATACAAAAAACAAATAATTTTTAAAAATCATTGTTTCACTTTTTCCTAATTTCATGAGTTTTTTAAATCTGATTGTTTTTATTTTTTTCTTGTGTTGCTTCTTTCTCAATCTGAAGTCTTCAGCAGATCTTGAACAATATTTCAGCTGATTTGGGTTATTTTTTAATCCCAGTTAGCATTAGCTGCAGAACCGCTTGGATTGTCTTGTTTGCTTATTTATTTATGGGCTGCAAAGTGTAAAATTTGAAGACAAAATATTTAGCAGTTTTTTTTGTATTTACCTTACTTTTCTCACATTTTGCGCACTTTCATCACATTTAAATGGAAATGTCTAAAAACAAAAACTGTACCGGGAGCCACTGAAGGAAACTACAGAAAACCAATGAAGAAGAAACTGAGCACAACTGCATTTCATAAGATGTAGTTAAAATGGAATCATGTGAGATGTTAGCAGTTGTAGGATTTCTCTTTTGTCTTTGGTAAATAGCCACATATAATTTCCCCCATTAACACTAGACTCTCACATGTTTGTCTTGGTTGTATTTACCCAGAATGCCCTGCTCTCTAGTCCACTTCCTGCTTTTGGAGCGGTCTCCAGTCTGCTTGGCGTTCGCATTTAAACAGCACCAGACTTCACATCAACCGAACTGAAATCTAGGTTTTTAGGCGGACCAGAACTCACACATTTGGTCCACATTAGAGTTCGATTGTGCATTCAGACCTCCCCAAATGAACCGGACTTTCTAGGTCAACAAGAAAGATTCAGAAAACTGAACTCCTGCACCACATGTGACATATTCCCTCTGCCACAAAGTGAGGAAGCATTAGAGGCCTTGGGGAAATCTGAATACTTGTCCAGGCTGGATCCAGCGACCGGTTACTGGCAAATGGATATGGCAGCGCATGATAAACACAGAACTCCATCCAGAACGCCCATCGGGCTGTTTGAGGCCAACAGAATGCCATTCGGGCTTCAGAATACCCCATTTATTCCTCACACATCTGAGTTTCACTCACCTGCTCAGTTACCTTGATGGCCTCATAATATTTTCTAAAACATTTGAGGAGAATCTGGAACACATCCAGCTGGTCTTTGATGTGCCAGTTGATGAAGAAGGAGGTGTAGTATCTGGACCACATGGTGTCTGCAGAGGGAATCAAGAAACAGATCCAGGATGTCCCTTATTTTTTATTTTATTGTATCCACCTTCATTTAACAGAACACTGAGGCTGTGTAAGTCAAATGCACGTTTTTGGGGCGATTTAGCAGTTTTGGCTAAACAACAAACAAAGAAAACATTGGCTGTCATCCATCCATCCATTTACTATTCACCCTTATCCCTAGGGGGTCGGGAGTTGCTGGTGCCTCTCCAGCTGCGTTCCGGGCGAGAGGCGGGGTCACCTGGACAGGTCGCAACACTGGCTGTCATAAAAACTGAATTTACATTATATTTAATCCAGAGTGGCTGCTTTGCTCATGCACTGAAACGTGGAGACGGAATGGAACGGGTCGACTGCCTCGTTTCTGAGACGTGCTCGGTTGGGATTTCAGAATCAAGCATAGTGATTGCCTACATTGCTTGTGACAAATTCCTTCGTTCCCTACAAACCTCTAGGATAGTGGAATGTCTGATGAGCTAGTCGAAGGCCTTTTGCTCCATCAGGCCAACCTTATCAAACTGGTGTCACATAATCGGTGTTCACGATCTGAGCTTTGTTTCCTGCCCACACTGTGCGACACCAAGTACACACATGTGGTCATAAGTGTCTCCTTCTGCGGATGATGTGCAAGGCCATCTTGAGTGGATCTCTGAAAATACTGAGGCCTTTAGGCTTTTAGAGAACTCTACAGTTGATAACTGAGAGATTCTACTGGTCAAATATGGGCCAGGAAATCAAATCTTGATGTGAAGACGAAGGACGACGCCCACAAGAAGTGTCGGAGCTCCTCTTGTCAGCATCCACAGCAGCTGCCCCCATGGATCCTGTACAGACTTTCTCTGCCTGGAGAAATCGGAGGGGGGATTTGAAAATATTGTAGCTTGTTGTTACTGATCCTTTTCTCATGACGCTCAAGCCTACCCCATCGTGTGGAAGAATTTATCAAGAGGTAAACGTCCTGTGCTTTTATAGAGCTTTATCAAGTCCAGAGAACCCCAAAGTGCTTCGGTCATTCACACACACATTCACACGCTGATGGTGGCTGGCTGAGGCAACCGGGCCCTCTGACCACCACCAACAGGCAACGTGGGTGGAGAACAGCAACCCACTCAGAGCAGGACAAACTTCTACCACCGCCATCGTTTCTGTATTCCAGAAAATCTCCATGCAGATAAAGGAGAAACACAACGCAAGTCCAGCTGCTGTTTCAGCTTCATTGTGATGATATATGACAGTTACAATATAAATATATATACGATATCATCATATATCATCAGATAGATATATGATGAAAGTGTGTTAGATGTGAGAAAAGTAAGTTAAATATCAAAAAACTGCCTGCTGAATCGTTTGCGTTCAAATCTTGCTCTTGGTGCAGCACATTTACGAAGCGACAGAACGTGGAGCTGAAGGGGAAAATCTGTCCTTAGATTCCCAGAATATAAAAAGAACAGAACAGTAAATATGTCACTCCTGAGTTGAGTACTCCTCTTAACCAGAAAGCTTCTACTGACTTCCCACAAACCCTTTATCAGAGGTCGCGACCTTTCTGTGTTTAATCAACTCCCAACCCCAGTTTTAGATCTGTCTCTCATGACCCCGTGACCTCACTGTGACGTCGCACTGACCCAGGACGAAGCACAGAGTCTGTTGCTTCGTAGCAAACCAGGAAGCCATAAAACAAGACATCCTTACCATGAAGTAGTGCCTGTATTTCCTGGAGACGAAGAAGAGGATGATGGGGTTGATGCAGGAGTTGACGGTCGCCAAGTTGATGCCGAAGTAGTCGAGCACCAGCAGAATGCTGCAACCGACAGGAGGCGAGGCTTTCAGAACAAAACCACAAATGTAAAAATGACTCAGCCTTCGGTTTCAGTTTTGGCACTCACTTCAGTAATTCACAGCGGCCAGGGTCGCTGGGGTCATAGATCATCAACTTCAGCAGCCGACTGAAGTGGAGAGGAAACCAGCAGAGGGCAAAGATCACCACCAGGCAGAACACAGACTTGGCCACTTCGCGGCGCTGCAGAGAGGACATTGATTCAAACCTTAGTGTGTTTGAGGAGGTTATTTACTGAAGTTCAGAGTATTAATTTCAACAACAGCAGTCGTCCAAACTTTCTACAATCATGGCGTCTCGGTTCATCGATGGAACAATTTACTGATTCTTGAAGGAGCCGCCTTCACCTGTTCAAAGACTAATATAAATCTAGACATGATGGGGATGTCCAAGCATCATCCCGCCCAGAAAGGCCCTGTCACCATAACACATTTTGCTGGACAATAAATTGTCCCCGCAGTTATTGCAATAAACAAAAATATTGTTGCCTGAAAGCATTTTCAAGTAATTAATGGTAAGAGTAAAAATGCAAGAACACATTCAAAAAGATCAATAAACTTTATAGTCTAATGAAAATTTAACACAAACTGGAGAACATTTAAATATTTAAAATAAAACAACATAAATAACAAATAAAATTAATTATGAAGACTTTTTTTTTTGTTATTTTTATTTTGTTTTACCTGCTCAACATTAATAGTTTTTATAAAATGTGTGTGACATTCAAGATGCAAAACACAAAAAAGGCTTAGAGCTAGGGTTAGGGTTCTTATTAGAAAAAAGCAATTTCCAAATGTTTTTGATCACAAATTGTTTTTATATTTTGTAGCCCGTGTTTTTGATCATGCTTAACTTGTGGTCCAGGGTCACAAACGGCCTCTGGGCCATGCTTTGGACGTACCTGTTTCAGTTGTTCACCCAGTGACCGCTTTAGATCTCCCTTCTCATGCCGGAGCATCTCATGAGTCATGAGGCCGTAGAAAATCGCCGAGCAGGTCAGAGGGATGCAGAAGTAAATGCCAAATATCCACCAATCCTTGAAGTTGATGTAGAACTGAAAATAGAAAAGTTAAAGGTGACGTGTTACGCTTCCTTGAAAAGCCAGGATAGATCTATGGGCTATACAAACATGTTCAACATATGTTTTTGCACAGATGATGGGATCAGCTCAGTTTCTCTGAAAATGAGCTGTTCCAGGGCCTCTGTCACTTGAAATACAAACAAGTTGCTGCTGACCTACCTCTTTGTCGCTAACAGACAAATTAGCTTGACTCAAAAAGTAGAAGCTGAATAAACTGACAAAAAGAACTTGGAACAATTTCAGTCGTTCAGTTCAATACTCCTGTCCCTCACTACCGATGTCCATCAAGACGCCTCGAATGATTGAGTGACGAAGGTGCAAAGAGTCAATAACTAGTTGACCAAATGTACTGGAGCTCTGCTTCGGTTGCTAGGTAACTGGAAGATGGAGAACCCTCAGCATCAGACTGGCTGTGTTTTACTAGCAAGAACCCATAAAATGATTCTTACATAAACATGAAACTGAACATTTGGATCTCATTCTGAAACTCTGGCTCCTAAAACAACAGTTCTGCTATGCAACGGGGCAGAGTTCTGTTTGGGTTGCTATGCAACGGGGCAGAGCTCTGCTTGGGTTGCTATGCAGAGCAGAGTTCTGCTTGGGTTGCTATGCAACAGAGCAGAGTTCTGCTTGGGTTGCTATGCAACAGAGCAGAGTTCTGCTTGGGTTGCTATGCAACAGAGCAGAGCTCTGCTTGGGTTGCTATGCAACAGAGCAGAGTTCTGCTTGGGTTGCTATGCAACAGAGCAGAGTTCTGCTTGGGTTGCTATGCAACAGAGCAGAGTTCTGCTTGGGTTGCTATGCAACAGAGCAGAGTTCTGCTTGGGTTGCTATGCAACAGAGCAGAGTTCTGCTTGGGTTGCTATGCAACAGAGCAGAGTTCTGCTTGGGTTGCTATGCAACAGAGCAGAGTTCTGTTTGGGTTGCTAGGTAGCAGCCGGTTCCCGTTGGATGTGATTTCATAATCTGGATGGGTTTGAAAGCTGCTCACTCTCCAGACACTAAACAACTTTAACTCACTGCCAACAAAACGGCTGGATGTTGTTTGGAAGCTGTTTCTGGACGCAGTCGGAACCCAAATGGAAGAAGGAAAATGTGAAGCTGTGTGCAAAATCTCTATTCCCGACATAAGCTTATGTTGTAAACCTACAATTTACTTGAATTCTTGTGTCTTCTTCCAAGTGTAATTGATAACTCATCGCTTTGCTAACTGCATTACAGAAATGTATTCATGCTGATTCCTGATCCTGCCGGACGTTTGCTGACTTCACACAACGACTCTTTTCCTGTCTAATTTCTCTGATTAGATTAGATAAGCACCAGCCATTCCCCTCTCTTCCTTTTGTCTTCTTTGGTGTAGAAATAAATGAATGACTGCACAGATTTCACTCCGGCAACAAAACAAACATTTGAGATGAAACATACTGCAGAATGAAGTCTTACTGAAGGAGCAATAAGACCAAACCGGAAGAGAGAAAAAAGAAACTGATTGGATAACGGGAGCAGAAAAATGGCTCAGTGGTTAAATAAAAAGTCTGTAGAATGTGATCATTTTTTTAATCCTAATCATCAGAATAAGTGATAGCATAATTGATTACTATAATAATTGTTAGTTGCAGCACTATTATAGTTATAAAATAGACATATTTATAGGAAAATATATGAACAAATAAATAATTCAATATTATTAACAGTATAGTAAGTAAACAAGATGAATGTGTTTTCATTTTCTTGGACAGAAGGGAAGGAAGATAGATAGATAGATAGATAGATAGATAGATAGATAGATAGATAGATAGATAGATAGATAGATAGATAGATAGATAGATAGATAGATAGATAGTAGATAGATAGATAGATAGATAGATAGATAGATAGATAGATAGATAGATAGATAGATAGATAGATAGATAGATAGATAGATAGATAGATAGATAGATAGATAGATAGATAGATAGATAGATAGATAGATAGATAGATAGATAGATAGATAGATAGATAGATAGATAGATAGATAGATGTGACTTACTGTTGTTATGCTATAAAATAGCAGCACTGCTATAACCATTGGATAGATTAATTTAGAGCAGGAACCTGTAGCACAAGCTTTGTGCTACAGGTTGTGGAGTTTCCAGCTAACACACACAGCGATACCCCGACACATAAACGCCTCCCACACACACCTTCAGCTCCAGCCTGGAAACACAAACTCACTTTCGAGAAGGAGTTCTCGGGCCTTATTAGGCAGGTACTAATGGTGTTGTTGCCGATAGTGAAGCGGTACAGGTTGAAGCCGACGGCCTCCGGCACGGCCAGTAAGGCAGACAGCAACCAGATCACCATGATCTGCACCACCGTTCCCTTGGGAATGCCGCCGCACTGAATCCGAGACCAGGACACCACCGCACGATACCTGCACACAAAACGTCACCAGTTTCAGGTTCACCAACAGCTCTCAGACCGCGTTTATTAGCAAACAACGCTGTAGGTTGTAGTTGTTGTAGCGCTACAAACACAGAGCCTTCAGTTACACATCATCAAATCTTTTTATCAGGCAAAAACATCTTACCAAATATATTTGGTCTAGTTTCTACTGCAAACATCTCAGGACACTTGAAATAAGACAAAACTAACTTGAAAATACTTTTTCAGACATAAAGGGCTTATTTTAAGTCAATAATTCCTTAATATTTCTTTTTTAAATACTAGTTGCAATGGCATATTCTTTTCACTAACAATGCATTTATTGTATGATTTTTTTCAAAACAACTAAGAATATTGTGACTTTATTTTTGTACACTCGGCCGTAGACGTTGCTGTGGGCATTGTGTGTTTGTTACCTGTCCACACTGAGAGCAATCAGGTTGAGGACGGTGATGCCGACTGAAGTCTTCTGTATGAAGGGTAACAACTTGCAGAGGAATTGACCAAACGGTTGGTCGGCGAATGGGAACCTCATTGCCAGGAGCTGCACACAAGAAAACACCAACAAAGCTTCAGCAGGTTGACAAAGAGCCACAAAGTCTTTGTGATTTGTGTGGATGTTAAAAACTTGACAGCTTTTCATTACATTTGGTGAGTTTTTAGAAAAGGTTAGTAGAAAAATCATTTTGAAATAATTGTGTTTGGCTGAAAAGCACAAGGTTTTAATAAAATGCTGTTATTGCATTTATTAATTCATTTTGAAATATCTAGAATACATTGTCAATGATTACTCATTGTTTAGTCAAGTATCACTGTGTAGGTAGTATTTCTGAACATAAATCCTTGTGTAAAATCGTGACTTAAAAGGTGTCGCACAATCTGGTTCAGGTCAGAATAAAAGGACATGTGAAGGACGACCAAAAATGTTGTGAATTCTCACATTGTAAATCTGGTGCCATTAACAGGAGTTTCATTGGAGATTGAGATGAATTGTTTTTGTACCTGATAGTCCAAACTTGTAACATTTGCTAAATTTTCAGCTGGTGCAGTTCGCTTTCACACTGTACTGTCAAACGATCCAAACTAACTGAAACCCTGTTCCTCTTCTCACCTGTGGGGGCGCTGCACCAACAACTCAAAACTCAAAAAAACCAGAAGAATAGAGTGAGTATTTACATTTCACTAAATGTAAATAAAAATGGTGTAGAGTTAGGTTTTAGCGAATGTAGGATTTCTCTTTTGTTGGGTAAAGAACCACAGGCAGTTTCTCCCACTAATGCTAGACTCTCACATGTTTCTTTTGATTATATTTCCCCAGATTGCCCTGAGCTGCAGTCCACTTCCTGCTTCTGGAGCAGTCTGCAGTTCGCTTGGCATTCAGACTGCACCAGAGTTCACTTCAGCCAAACCCGGACCAACGTTTTTCAACACATCAGAGTTTGCTTTTTTTGCCCATTTCCCAGATTAACCAGACTTTCAAGGTAAACAAATTGCAGTTTGATTAAAGCGGACGAAACGGGGATGGTGTGAATGCAACTCCAGATCTGGCAACCCTATATGGCCCAAAATGAAGTTGGGTTGAATTAAGCAACAGGTGAAAACACATGAAGAGCTGTACCTTGTAGACATTGATTGGGCCGTCTATGACGATGTACAGTATGTCTCCCATGGCGAGGCTGGCTATCAGGGCGTTGGGTCCGTTCCTCATGCTTTTATTTTGGCAGATAATCCTCAACAGGGTGACATTGCCGATGATCCCCACAGCAAAGATTATGAAGGAGAACACCGTGTTGATGTACTTGAAGACGGCTCTTACCGACATTTCCTGGGTGCACCGAGGGCGGACTGGCAGCTTAGGGTTTGAGTTTTGAGACGAGTTCTGGGAACTTGCAAGTTTTCTATTATGTTTGGCCCTCAGTTTGTTCTCAGCCTTCAGGTTTTCTGCTTCAGAGTCCAACGAGACGGACGGTTTATTGACCGTCTCTTGCGACATGTGCGTCTCTGCGTTTGTAGAACGATTGGTGCTGGGGAGTTCAGGTATCGCCGTCTCTGACTGGAGAGGCTGAGGCGTGAAGTTGCGAAGGCCCTCAACATGGGAGACAAACAGGAAACACCAGACAAGCAGCAGCGGGAGAAACATGGACTTCCTTGGTTTCACTGAGTCAACATCCTGAACTCCAGAAATCATCCTGGACTCTGCTCTGAAATCCTGGAACTGCCTGGAGAAAGTACTTACAGTAGTTACTTGGTGTCCTCAAAACCAAAACAGAACCTTTTACTGAAAGCACAAATAACTGCTTCAGCATGAACTAGGAGCTGTCAGATTGATTTGCTGTTTGGAGACAAAAAGAGAAAAACAAATCTGTGTTAGTTTGTGCAGACGCAATTAAACACAACTTCAAGACCTTGATTATCTTTTTTAAATGACAGAATAGTAACAGGAATACCTTCCAGATGTAGAATAAAACTTTAAATCTGAAGCATTACAAACTTCAAAGCTCAGAATAACCCAAAAATCGGTGGCAAAAACTAACTTTTATAGATTTTTTTTTATCCCTAAAAGTGGAAAACTATGTTATAAATAGTTAAAATGTTTATAAAATACACCACCACACATCATTCTGTTACCATTTATGGTTCCTGCTGGAAACCTAAAATGTAAATGTGAATTAATTTGAGTTCCAACAACATTTAGTTTCCCTTTGGGACCAATAAAGTGTCTTTGGATATGAATTTCAAATGTGCTGCTAGAGTTTTTTGGATTAAACACTAGAAGTATTTCAAAATAAAATGAAGACAAATGATGCTACAACAATGATCTACTTTCTCTTAAGCTAAATTAAAATGTACATTTATTATCTTTATTTCCTAATGTTTAAATCTGACCACAGCAAACAGTTTGCTAACAGTTTTAGTTAAATTTATAATCTTTCAAAACCACAACAAACATTTGGTCTTTGCAAATATGACAAAATAATCTGGATTTAACGCTGAACAATCTTAGATTTCACTGCTGTAAATAAAGAGTTTATTTCTGTAATAAAACATTTTTTTTCTCTAAATGTTTTTCTGAAAGAAGATTATTGAAGGAAAAAACTAAAATCTCACCTGTTTCTATTTGTCTGCTCTTTATTTTGATTTTTTCCAAATATATTCCATGTGAGGTTTCGGGACAGAGCGGCACGAAAAGGACAAGCGTTCCGTTCAGGCTCGAGACAGAACTGGTCCAGACGGTCGGGTTCTGGTTCCTACTCACCCTTATCCTCTGCTCCTCCTCCAGTCATCGCTCATTAACTGTTTTCCTGCCTCTGGTGCCGCCCTTTCAGCTCTCCTCCCTCATTTTCTGCTTCCCGTTTCTCCCGGTAACGGGCGACAACCGTTTGTTTTCCCGTCGCCATGGCAACTCAGGATCCAATCGAGTTTCTAAATTTTTTTTTTTATTTTTTTTTTACATTTATTAAACTTCTAAATTTCCAAGTTTCATCTTGATTCATCCGTCATTTTTAAAGTTTTTTGGGCAGAGATTTGCTCCTTTTCGTTCTTCCGCCATCTTACAGGAAACGGCGCGTCTGCGCGCGAGGCGACGCTCCGGGCGCCATTTTAACAGAGGCGCCAAAACGAGACCGGAAATGTCCGAAATTGTCTAGAAACAAAAAACAACAACAACAATAAAAACTCTTGAGTCCTACATGTAAAAGATAAATGTACAAAATCTGAAAGTTTGACATTAATCTCATAAATTGTGTTGATTCACACATTTAACTTTTGAAGCTCAGAAATGTTCTTAACCTTTCAAAGCAATCTCTGAGAATCTCACATTTTTGGAGTTTTTGGACAGAAATGTACTCTTTTATTCTATCTACAATGGCCTTAACACCCATTGTGAAAAACTGCCATTGTTTAGAAATGTTAAGATTAAATGACTTCATTGAAAAGGTTTTCAGCATCGGTCCAGAACCCGAATAAAATGAGATTTAGGTCATTTTATAGACTTGAAAGAGGTGAGTATTTATTTATTTATTTGCATTTGCCTGGTTTTCTTTTCTAAAATACAACTCAATAAAATGACAAAGTTAGACCCATTGTAGATAGAAACAAGAAGTAAATTTATACCCCAAAAAACTCAGAAATGTAGAAAAATTTGACTTTTACTCTTGAAACAAAATATTTCCGCTCAGAAATATCCTTGTTTTTCCAAGAAAATTTCTGAGACAAATCCAGATTTTCTGAGTCTTTTTAGAAGTTTACTCATTTCTTTTTCTTTCAACGATGGCCCTTATGTATCTCTCAGAGAGAGAGAAAATAAGTCTGTATTGCATGTTGATTACTGACTCTCATGCTTATTGTTGTATTTTTTAATTTGATTTTGAGTGAAATAAAGTAGCTGACGTCAGTGTGATATTTTTGAGATCATTTATTCTCTTTGTTTCTTCCTTTGTTCCCACCTGCTGCTGTTGCTCATCAGCTGGACCTTCAGCTTCCTGCCTCTGTTGTCCCCCCTTCACCTCCTTCTCTGTTTCCTTCTGGCTTTTCTCCTCCATTTTCCTCAGTTACGACGGAACATCTCGTAAACACGCTGACGACTGAACTTTTACTGTCTGACACGAACAGACAACAGTCTTTCTGCTTTACCACCCAAGCCTTGGCTGGCAGTTTGGTGGAAGGTTGTAAATTTTAATATTGGGTTGCTGTTTGAACACAACTGATGCCACACAAACTCATTTTCTTCAAGCTTTTCTTTTCATCTTACACACAACTTTATAGTGTTTGAGAAATTTGAGATACACTCGGGGTAAGACTTCGCCTTTGGTTCCTTTGAAGGCAGCTCAACAAATGTTGACAAGATTGCAATATAAAACAAGTATTATTAAGAAAAGTTTTTGTTAGACTAAGGCTACATTTTAAGTAAGCAGAACATGTTCTTTGCAAAAAAACAAAGGATGGTAAACAAATTTAATACAACTTGATTTGAGAAACAGTTAGAGAAAGTGGAGGGCGTTTTAATTTACTTGACTTGAAAGCCAATTAAAGTCTTAATATTAAAAATGCCTAATTTTTAAATAAGCTGTCATGCTAACATACATATTAACAATGAAACTGAATAGGAAAGCAATAAAATGAGCACAGTTTAAATTACCAATGAACTGCTGACATAAAAGTAAATAAGGAGTAATAAAGCCAGACTTTATAAGACTGTTTAAATGTATTTCATTTATTTTTAGCTATGGTTATATATAGGACCAATCCTGCCATGATTATGAATACATATATAAATGTCTTGATCTAAGTACAGCTAAAAGGAGCTTTTCAAATAAATTAGTGCCTCATTACATGCAACAAAATAATAAAAAGGACATATTTATTTAATAATTGGTCAGTTAATTTGGCAAACATATGTTCCTATTTAACTTCTGTGACACTGTCTCCATTTATATACTTTCATTTATTATTTTGTTGTGTTTAATGGCACTGATTTATTTAATTTATTCAAGCTGCATTGTGAGTATGTTGATTTAATGAGCATTGTTTTATTTATGTATTTATTCTTATTCATGGCAAGCTTTGTCCTCCATACTGCTACAGTGGAGCATAAATGTCCTCTTACTGTTCTGGAGTACAAGTTAGCATTAGCACTGTAGCACAGTAGCACTATTTGCTATTGTAGGACAAGTGAAAGTAAATATCCACTTTATGGTTTGCTATCTGCAACAGGAAGTTTGAAAAGGAGCATTTTAAAGAGTAATTAACCCCAAAATCAACTTTTTTCTGGTAAACTGCTTCAGTGCGTTCTCAAGGGTACTATCTTTATGTCTTCACATTTATTCAAAATTTTATTGTAATTTTGGTTAATTCTGAAATATTTGTCCAAAAATGAGAGAAGAGTTGGAATTGAAAGCTTTGATCGATAACTTTTCTTGCTTTGCACGTCTTTTTTTTTTATTTAATAAATCGCTGAAGGAAACAGATTTGCCCAGTTTTGACCTTAGTTTTCACTCTGAGCTGTGGACTGTCGTTGCTCTGTTGGTTTCTGACTGGAATATGTTTGCGGTCGCAACACATGCCACGCATGCTGAGTTTACACATCTGTAACACATAATGTGTCTGAGCTCACGCCTGTCTGACCTCTGACCTTGTGTAGCTGATGGTCTAAATTCGTTTCAAGAATTTTGTGTTATCTTCGTCACTGAGTGTCGGTGGATAAATGTGGTTCGTCAGCGTGTGAGTCTGTTTGTTCATTTACTACTATAAATAGAGAGATAAGCAGAAGTGACTTGAATCATGCAGAAAGATAATTGTTTGACGCCAAAGATAAAACATTTATTTTAAATAATTTCTATTTCCTCAGTCTGTGCATTTACACACTTTAATCTGGTTTGTTATTGAGTTACTCAGCCCTGCTTCTTTTACATACTCCTTAACAATTTTAAGGATGTTTTCACACTTTATTATCCAGTGGATCCAGTTGCAGCATTTGATATATTTTCAGCTGGTGTGGTTTTCTTTCTTGCTGCAATGAGTGAAACCAACCAAACAGTTTGAAAAACCTATTCCCCTGCTCGCCTGTGGTGGCGCTGCAACAAGAACCACTGAAGGAAACGACATAGTGAAATACCAGCACAACTTCCTTGTTCAAATAAGTAAACAAAAATGGAGTAGCGTCAGATTGTAACGGTTGTAGGATTTCTTTTTTTCCTTTAATAAAAGAACAGTCATTTCTGCTGCTAGCGGTAAACTTACATGTTTGTGTTGGTTGTATTTACCCAGAATGCCATGCGCTGTAATTCACTTCCTGCCTTTGGAGCGTTCTGCAGTCCCCTTAGCATTCATACATGCTTTCAAATTAAAATGGACATTTGTTGATGTAAAATAGACACTTTTTCATTCTCCTCTCTGATTTCACACTCATTTCAGGTTAAGATTTAACATTTTAATGTCATTGGTCAATATATAACTAGTCAGTAACAAGAATCAAAATCTCTATTTTATTATTGGTTTAACCCAATGGTTCCCAAAGTGTGGGGCGCGCCCCCTAGGGGGGTGCAGTGCCATTGCAGGAGGTCGCAGGAAGCAGTATGGATAAATGAAAAATAAAATAACAGTTACACTAAAGTATTTCACCGTAAAGGTGGTTTGTAGTGTGTTTTGTGGCAACCTGAAGTGTGAAATAAATTTCAGTGGAGTTTGAAAACAAAATATGTGTAAAGGTTTATGCCTGGTTGAACGATGTGGGCCCAGTTGATTTTTTTTTTCTTTTTTGGGGGGGATTTTATTGTAAACCATAGAGGGGCCCAGAAAATCTTTGGGAACCACTGGGGGGGCAGAAGAAGCTGGATCTAAGCCTATTATCTTCATCTGAACAGAAGGTTTGAAGGGGAAAAAGGGAAATAACATTTTTTATCATTAAGTCTGCTTTATTGGTCTATTTCCTGAGCTCTATTACAGAGATGAAAGGATATATTGACAATTACAACTAAATGCTTGATGTTTGGATTTACAGCCAGCGTCGCATGCAGTTTCCACATTGTTAGTCTCTTCTAGTGGAAAATGATAGTTTTAATTCTTGGTTGTCCCTTTAAAGCGCAGGCTTTAATCAACAAATTACTCCTGAAGCTAATTAGAATAAAAAGAACAACAAACAACCAAAGTCAAAAAGCAAATCAAAGCCAGACGCTCACTCAGGAAACAGCTTTCCATGCAGAATGTGGGACTTTATTAACAGCTCTATGCATAAAAGAACCAAAGCTGACCACAAATCGCGCGCCGTCACACATCAACTGAGTTTCCATCCAGTTGTGGTGGAGTTTGATGGAAAGTTTCACTGCACAGACCCAACATCTGGTCTTTGCTAAACATTTCAGCAAGAATATACTGGGGTTTGTTTTCCAGATGTGGGATAAAGAGGTGCTTTTAAACTGTGACTGAGATACACGTTTGATATAAAAAGAGTGCACATATCAGCTGACGTCAGGTTTTTCTGGTATAACAAGGAGGTCATTTATCTATCTGTCTCTTACTTAGCTATCTAGCTAACTAGTAATCAGTCTATCTAGCTCTATTTAGCTAGCTCGCTAAGGCTAGCGATCTATGTCTTGCTAGCTAGCTACCAAGATAGACAGCTAGCAAGATAGTGATATAGCTAGCTATGTTGCAACACAAGACTATGAAATAAATGAAGTTCAGTAACATCAACTGTAAATATTTTTAATATGCAAATAATGTTCCATTCAACATACCCATTTTCAAATGCAATAACTTATTTATTCAGCATATTATTTTAGTATATATTCTATCATGACACTTGTGACTTTTCTAACCTCTAGTCAAATTACTCATTTTGTCTTACTGCCTGTGGTAAAACACAGCAAACTCAACAAATCTGATTGTGAATT